TTTATGCCGACGTAATCTTCCAGATTGACTCTGTTAAATGTGATTTGTCCTTACTGTAGTTCTGATAAACTCCTGATGACCTTCCCATCTTCTCTAAGGATTTTCTTTGTTAAAAATGCCAAGCAATTTTGTTTTTTATTTAGTAAGTTGTTTATTCATAGAATTATGGAATGGTTAAAGATGGGAAAGACCTTTAAGATCATGGAATTCAACCATTAACCCAGCACTGCTGTGTTGACCACTAAACCATGTCCCCAAGTGCCACATCCACCGCCTTTTGAGCACTTCCAGGGATGGTGATTCCACCAATTCCCTGAGCAGCTTCTTCCAATGTCTGACAACCCTTTCAGTGAAGGTTTTCCTAATATTCAATCCAAACCTTCCCTGAAGCAACTCAAGGCCATTTCCTCTTGTCATGTCCTTGTTCCCTACTAAGAGAGCCCGACCCCCACCCAGCTCCACCCTCCTGTCAAGGAGTTGTAAAAAGCCAGAAAGTCCCCCCTGAGCCTCCTTTTCTCCAGGCTGAGCCCCRCCAGCTCCCTCAGCTTCTCCTTGTGCTCCAGTTCCTTTCCCAGCTCTGTTCCCTTCTCTGGATATGCTCCAGCCACCTCCCTGTAACCTTTATCTGGAGCTGTTCCCATTAATCTGCTTAGGATACAGGCAACACACCCTGCATTTTTAATGAGGTGCCATAGTGCTCTATATAATGCTGTTAATACTCTCCTTGCTTTACTGGAAATAATTTTCCAGATATACCCAGTATCTTGTTTACCTCCATATGGCTGCATATCACTGATCACTGTGATTTGCAGGGTCTTGGTCCCAGGTGAGCTCCCATTTAGTGCTAGAAATAGTTTTTAGTCCAGGAGGGCATGGTTTTGCCCTTGTCCTCAGAGGCTTTTAGCTCCTGCCTATCACTCCAGCACTCATTTCTTCCTTCTATGATGCTCTGTTTGTCCTCAGCATTGGCTGTCCTAAACGATAACCATCAAGCTGGAGTAATCAGCAGCTTTAATTAGTATGGTCCTACTTTGTGCTAATTTTGTTAATTTAGAAAACAAGCAACAAAAAAAAAGAACATTGGAAACTGCTAGAGGCACTGAATGATGGGAGCTGACAGAAGGTGACATGAAAGAATTGGGGAAAGTGCCCAGTGTTGGGCAAAGGAAAAATGAGATGAGGAGAGGGCACAGAGCCCATGAGAGAGAAGTGAGAAGCTGAAGACAACTCACATTTTCCAGAGCAGTAATTGGGCCTCATGGAGACATATTTGGGATGGATGAGGACACTCCAAAATCCCAGAAATAAATGCATAACTCATGACTTTCTGCATTTTGACTTTTTAAGAATAGCAACACTGCTGCTTAATTTTGGATGTTTCCTTTTTTTCTCAAGTTTTCAAAGTGCTCTGAAAGTCCAAATACTTTCTAAAAGCATTTTAAAAGCACCAAATTCTAAAAGCACTTTAAAAGTCCCGAATTGAGAGGATTATGAGTCTTGAATAATTTATCCACAAAACTTGAAAGAGAGAGAATTTGCTTAGGTCTTTAAAATGTATATGATAAATTTTCTTATAGATTGGAATGACTCTGAAAGACTTTTATCCAGATAAGTACATTCAGCAGATATTAGAAGTCACAGGCAATAGCAATTAAGGCATAAGGCGTTTCCTGGGAATTAATATCAAGTTGGGAGGAGTGGGGATGTCTCGAGTTGCAGCTGAGGGTCATTAACTTCACTTGATGATTAATGACCTTTGCTGAGGTCATTATTATTATCAGCTGAAAACGTAGAAAAATTCAGATGTATGAATCTTTTTAATGGGAGTTGCAGTTTCAGTCGGTGCAGTGGAAGTGTCCCCACTGTGGATAGACTGCCCTGTATTAATATCAAATACAGGGCTTGATTTCCCTCCTCCCCATGGCATTTTCAGRAACGTTAATCAAAGCTGAAAAAAATCTCTAAAGCTGTGCCAGTATCAAATTGAAAAGCAAGCAGAATAAAGTTCATAGTGCTTTAAAGTTCTCCCAGTGTGGCAATGGCATCCAGGACTTAATCAGCTTTTTTTAGAGTTCTCCATCTATCCCTTTCAGTACCTAATGAGAGTGAGTCTCTGTGTAATCCAGGAATGTGCCCAGCACATTCCTTGTGCTCACTGTTCTCGGATCCATATTTGAAATTGTGCCCTCTCTAATTTTGTGTTAYGTTTCTCACCAAGATCTGAGCTCTGAGTTGTGCTATAAAGAGAGCAGGCACACAGCCCTGACTGCTGCATCTGTACAGGGAGCATCTCTTTACTAATAAACAGTCAGAACAGATACTTCCCAGTATCCAGACAAGTCCATGCCTGGCTCCTTCCACATTCGGTGAGACTGTTCTTTTGAATGTGATGAATGATTTCATTGTTGACTTGTTTTGAAACTGAGAGCTGTTACAGGCAAATGTTCATATTGCTACTGATTTTTACCTTATGAGACTTTTGTTATAATATCTTGATCATCTTATGTAGATGTTTGTGTATATAAATACCTTGATATGTGTCACAGAACAGTTTAGGTTGAAGATCTTTATGACCATCAAGTCCAGCTGTTAACCCAACGCTGCCAAGTCCACTCTACTATGTATTTAGGTTTTTTTACTTCAAGATGCTTTTAAAAAATGTAATGAAGAGGTCTGAAATAAGTGATAAAGATAACATGAAGGCATATGTTTTAATTAGTCACTTTATTTTTTATTTGGACTATGTTTCTGAATCCTGTGAGAGTTCTAATTTACACAGACACTCAGCCCCTGTCCCTTTCTCTCCCTTCCCCCAGCCCTTTTCCCTTGGCCATTGTGAAGGYTGTAGCATCAAAATTCCAATCAGGACAGGACTGAGATGACTGCTGCTTTTGGCTGACCTTTATATAAATGCCACTGGATGTAGGCTTCTGTTCAGAAAGACAGGATTTTTCAAAAATATAAGCAAAGCAGATAAAAAGCATAACTGAGGTGTGAAATGTTGACAAATTGGACATAGAGTGGTAAGACTAGACCCACTTGTACAAACCTGTGCACTTCACACTGTTATGGGGATTTCTGCATGCCTTTAGTCACCCTCTGCCAAACCACAGAGCTCTTGCCTCTCTTTTTTCTTTTTCTTTTTTTTCATTCCTCCGAAGTATCTCCTGTGGTGAGAGGAAGAGGTGAGTGAGGTCAGGCAGAATGAAATGAAAATCATGAAAGCTTAATAGACCGTGGGGAGGTTCCTTTGAAAGGGTGCCAGCAATGGAATATCAGTTATGGGGAGGAAGACCACAGAGCTGGCAGTGAATGAAAGGAGATCTGGTGCATGCGCCTTGGTGKGACACAGCCTTGGCCATGGAACTGGGCTATTTCCCTATTAACTCCTTAACAAATGGCTCACTCTGGCAGTAGTTATTCCCATGGTGCTGTTAGTGCTCCCTGATGCAGCTGCACTGTGCTTCAGGATTCATTTTTCTTRAAAGTTCTGCTTGTAAGCTCAATAGATGAGAACTGAAGTATTGATGAGATTACATAAATTGCATTTTCTTTTTTATGTTTTGWAGTCTCTACCAATTATCCCTCTAAGGGAAAAGAAATTGTTTTTCTGGATGAGAAGAAGTCATATTTTAAAACATGTAAAAATGTGAAGACACCAGAGATAGCAAAAAAAATCCAGAATCCTAGAATGGTTTAAATTGGAAAGAACATTAAAGATCATCGCATTCCAATTCCCCTCCCTGGGCAGGGACACTTTCCACTAGACCAGGTTTCTCAAGGCCCCATCCAGTCTGGCCGTGAACATTTCCATGGATGGGGCATCCAAATCTGGTTATTGCCATTATACATTAGGTTATTGTCATTAAACAAACCCTAACCATAATAGCCCTCAGTGTATATGAAATGGTGTGGCAAATCAACTCACTCACTGGCTGTTTTTTCAGAATAAAACACTCCTAGAAGCAGGGGCTTTGGTCTGGCTGATGCTTCCTCTTCTAAGGCTTCAAGTCTTGATTGCAGTAGTTAAAATGCTCAGATCTGAAGTGTGACTCACTGGATGGCAGTCTGAAATCTGAGTAAACATGAAGGCTGAACTAAATAATAACTATCCCCTTTCAGCCTAGGCATTTTATGAATCTGTGCCTGTGTGAATGAAAAGACCTGTGCCAGTGTCAGACTTGATTTAAGGACTTGGGGTTTATTTGATGGTGTGGAACTATTCTGCTGTGTGCTCACAGCTTGCAGAGAAATCACAGAGTCTGAGACTCCACGACTACCAAGATGCCTTGAATTTCTGTTATCTCCAGATCCATGGATGTGGTAAACTTCAGACCTTTCTTTTACCATGTTAAAATATCCCTATTTTTGTCATGAGCTTTTGAACATTTTTCTRTAGCTAAGCATTTTGAAGCCTGAAGTTTATCTTTGGGACAGATCACTGTTTTCAGTTATCCGGTTTGTTTCCAGTTGCTGCAGGACCTCTCAAAGAACAAGCGTGTATCCTCTAGGTATTTAAATAACAAAACATCGGGGAAAACATACCATGCAATAAAAAATGACCCTGCAGTGCTGATGTGGATGTAACCCTCGGTTTCAGCCTTTGTCAGCTGCCTCCATTGTAATTCAGAACAATGGTTGCTTCTGCACAGATGAGCTCACAGTTGTCTGGTGTTTTCAGTCATGTGTCCTTTCAGCTTCATTTCATATGTTGCTGTCACAGGTTTGCTCACCTTTTGTGAGAAGTTCAATAGCTGCTGGATTCTCAATTTGAACACTTCTTCCCCTAAACCTTTTTSCAAAGTTCAGCACTACCAGACCAGTGGTTTCCTTAATTTCTTTTCACAGTGCCTTTATTTTCCTATGGACACCTGTCCCCAAAGGCCACAGGTTGAAACCTCCTGGTGAAACAGTCGTCAGGTTTCAGATTGTTCTTTGGCACAGACTGATGTGACAGGGCACAAAGTTAATCTTCAGCATYATTTCCTTTTCTTTTGCAGGAGAAATTTGAAGGTTTGTTCCGTGCCTATGATGACTGCGTGACATTCCAGCTGTTCAAAAGCTTCAGGCGTGTGCGGATAAATTTTAGCAGTCCCAAATCAGCTGCTCGTGCCAGAATAGAGCTGCATGAAACACAGTTCAGAGGGAAGAAGTTAAAGTTGTATTTTGCACAGGTAATGAAATCTGGAATCTACTGCTGTGTTAGTGCATAGCTGTCATAGAAATACTATGCAATAACACTGAATAAAAGTAGTAAATGCCAATCTCTCTGATAAAARATTACTTAAACCTGTTTGTGTTTAYTGAGCTGTTCCTGCCCTTAGRGTCTGCAGTAAATTTAAAGGACCACTTAGGACTAAAGTTGCTCTTTCAATGCACAGAATTACATTATCTTATAGGTAATTTACAACACTGGATGTTGTCCCTTAACTAACCATAAGAATATGCTAAGTAAACAATTCAGTTGAATAAAAAAAGTAGGACTGGATTACTTACTTGGCTGCAACTCTGAGCCACAGTCAGGCTTCCTCCTGCCTTTTTGGCTTCTCCTTACTCAACACATGAATGWCAAATTCTGAATTCTCTGAAAGGAGTTTGTTGAGTCCAAGTCAAAGGAAGAAAGCAGAAGAAGATCAACACTCCCAGCCTAGGGCCGTGGGTGATTATGTCCATCTATTGGAACTGTCAGGTGGGGGTTCAGTTCTCCTTGGCCAAGGGAGRGAGGAAGAATGCAGATCTCCCACAGCCTGGGCCCCAGCCAGGATATAGAAAGTTGAAGGGAGCTGAGAACCCAWCCACCACCTCTTCTGAATGTGTTTTAATAAATTGCTATGGCTGATGTGGCTTGTGAGATGCCCACTAGTGTTTACGAGCAACGTAGATGTGCTTTGAGCTGCCAGATTGGCCCTTCAGAGGTCTGAGGGTAAGGGCTGSTTAGTTTGAAAGTATCAAGCAAACCCAAGAGCCTGTTAAATGATGAGTTTCTCCATCCTTGTTGGAATAGGAGCYGTTTTGCACCTTGGCAGGAGCAGAACCACAGAGGATGGGCAACTACAGCTGTGAAAAAAACAATATGCTTAACAAGTTAGATGAGCTGAGAAGATCTWACAGTTGGATTTAGGTGTTGAGAATCTGCCTCAATTCCATTTTCTATGCGTTAATCTCCTAGATCTGGCACTGCATTTTTTTTAAAGGTTTCAAAACCTGCAGTAAAKCAGATCTGAGAATTGTCTCATTCTAACTGCACAATCAAGAGGCTAATTGAAAACTTGGGATAACAAGAAAAAGAAAAATGTGCACAGTAGTGATTAGTCTCCCTATCTAAGATAATTTCCTGCAGAGCCATTCTGGTACCTGCACTATTTTCTGCAGTACACATAGTCTTACAAGAGCTTATTAGTCATGTCCAGGGAACGAAGATATAGAAGCAGCACTGTGTCTGGAGCAGTGCCTGGCCTSAGCCAGACCAAATAACCATTTTCAGACCTAGAAGTACCAGCAAACATGAGTTGAGAGATCTAGACTGGCTTTTGTAAACCCCATTCTGGTATAGAAGGGTGCCATCCCAGCACCCTGGTGTGTTTGCTGTCATGGAAATGGAGTTTATTGCTTCTGTACTCAAGCTGGTTGTAACCTTGCTCAGATGATTGCAGTACAATTCTTTTACGTCAAGSCTTCTTTAACATATCAGAAAAGAGCAGGAATTTAGATAATTTAAGATGGAAATAAAATGAGGACACTTGGTTGCAAATTACKAAAGAACATCATAGATTCCTTTATCACTTCACCTAAGAAATCAATTCTTTAGGAACCCGTCTCAATTTATTTATAAGCCTTTTTTTACTTTTTTACACATTACTTGTGTAATGCCACTTTTTTTAGATCAGATCACAACAGTATCTTTACAGCTTCAAAAACCTCTGAACTATAGCAGCTGTGGCTACCACAGCTTTGTTTTTGTTCTCAGAGAACGTACACAATAGGCACAGACATTGTAGCTTTGCTGATGTAACAGCCCCACACTGTGCATTTACTGCAGAGGCACCATCTGTAAGGCTGAGATGAAATTCATCTCCAGGCCTTCTCTGCTGAGACTGACGCTGAAACCCTCCCTGGGTGGCATTTGAGAGAGAAGGGTATGATGATTTGAGCAGTCATTTCATTTAGTCATCCTGTGTGGATGAGAAGCTGGACACGAGCTGGCAACGTGTTCTGGCACCCCAGATATCCTAGGCAGCATCACCACAGCCTAACCAGCAGGTCAGAGGAGATGATTCTGATCTGGTGAGATCCCACCTGGGGTCCTGTGTCCAGCTCTGGGGGTCCCCAATGTAGGAAAGRYRACATGGACYTGTTGGAGTGAGTCCAGAGGATGCCACAAAGATGCTGAAAGGGCTGGAGCTCCTCTGCTGTGGAGACAGSCTGGGGGCTGGGGGTGTTCAGCCTGGAGAAGAGAAGGCTCCAGSRAAACCTCACTGTGGCTTTTCATTAGTTAAAGGGGGCTTACAAGAAAGATGGGAATGGACATTTTAGCAGGGCCTGTTGCGATAGGACAAGGGGCAAATAAAAGAGGGTCATTTGAGACTGGAAGTAAGGAGCAAATTTTTTATAGTAGGAGTGGTGAAACACTGGCAYGGGTTGCCCAGAGAAATTGTGGATGCCTCGTCCCTAGAAAYGTTGAAGGCCAGGCTGGATGGGGTTCTGAGCATGGCAGGAGGGTTGAAGGAGATGACCTTTAAAGGTCCCTTCCAACCCAAACCCTTCCATGATTCTATCCTGTACTAAACATTGTCTTTGTTACGCTTTAAAGATTCAGACGTCTGAGACAGATGGAGACAAGCTTCATTTGGCACCACCACAGCCTGCAAAACAGTTTCTCATCTCGCCTCCAGCCTCCCCACCTGTAGGGTGGCAACCAATAGATGATGCAACACCTGTCATCAACTACGACCTCCTTTACGCAGTTTCTAAGCTTGGACCAGGTAAGCTTTTGGTCCTTGGGTGAAAATGTGTCAGGAAAAGCAGACAAGAAATATCAGCCTAGATAATAAGTCAGCATAGAGCTGGAAGTTGCATTAAAATTTGGATTTAAGTTGATGCATGTCACCTGGTTCTTCCCTTCAGAATGAGTTTTGCCATGTGTAGGCACAGAATTGTATGTTATGTGCAGCTTGTGAGAGCTGATCAAAGCTTTGYTTACACAGTTTATTGTGCTGGGATTTGTGCCTAGATGAGGCAATTGATGGTTTAGGTGGGGACTGGACACATGTTTGGCTAGGGATGTGAGGAGTTTCTGCATGACATCTGCTCAGTGCTGTATTCCAAGGTGCAGATTTCTCACAGGCACCTCCACTGGAGTGGAGAATCTCTCACATTGTTTGTTGAGAGAACTTCTGTTCCCCAATCCCAGTGGGATTGCTCTGTTAGGAATGCTCATTTCCTGCTGAAAACTACACAGGAGGAATGGGATAAGTTGCARCCTCTGTTAGCACAAGATAAATGTCAATGGATAATGCATCCAGGCTTTCTTCTGTCTTTCCATCTTTGACTAATGCCASGCATTGAAGCTAGCTTGGATTTTTAAGCAATTCTTTCCCTTGAAAAATGCTCATCTGATGGAACCAAAACTTTACACGGGAGAGGGTTACTTTTGATTTAATTAAGTCATCTTTACAGATAGTTTTCTTTCAAAGCTGTTAAAGCATCCTGTTTTAAAAATTTCAAAATGAGAAAGGTTCCAGTTTCAGGTCTAAGCATTATCATTTACAAATTAATCTAATTTACATTCATAAGCCACARGGAAAAAATAGCCTATTAAATTATCTTCATACCCCAAAAAAACCATTTCAGATCCAATCTAATAACAATTGTGGGGGTGAGCTCATGAAAATGTAGCAGTTTATTTTTGAAATTCTTGTGGGATGAGAGAATTGTTTTCTACCCAGCTGTACTGGGGATGCTGCTTGCTCGCTTTGAGAGCAGCTTCCAATTGCAGACATCTTATCGTTGGGGYTTTTGTGCAACTACACCAAAGTAACTCAGAACTGGAGTGCGTGGGGTGCAGGAAGATGTTTCATGATTCAYAAGGTTTGCAGGCTTATCTCCTATTTTTTTCACATGGGATCTCTCACAAGGGGAAAATACATGTCAGGAGATCCCTATGGTTCAGCAGGAAAGCCCATAGAAAAAGGCAGCCAGGTGWAAGACTTAATACTATTGCATATTATTATTTCCAGAAGTGATACTTTGCTTCTAAACTGCTGAATAAAACAAAAACAAAAACCTCCTTTTTTTCTCCCTTTGATGCAGCAGTGTTATAAATGGAAACATGTAAACGAATTCCCGAGCTAGATGGGTAATAAATCAATTCCTGTTCTGGAGCAGTGGAATGTGAAATATCACTCATTGTCCCACACTGTGGGACAGCTTTGCGTGAAGGTCAAATTCACCCGGATTTAAGGAGCCTGCAGGGAGCAATATGAAAAGCCATTGTGTGCTCTCTTCCTTCTATTTTTAGCACTTGTTAGAGGRATCAATTTTAGTTAACTGCAGCGGCGGGTTTAAAATAGTGTTGCTGTTCTCAGTTGTGCATTTACTATGTTTAGAATTTCATTGAAAAACAAATCCCACTAACACTCGTTTCTCAGTATTGCAGCGGTAAAACRCTGCTGGACATCAAACAGCACCGGTAGCCTCAGCAAAGTGAAATGTTTTCATTCAAAAGCACAATTAAAAATGTAACTATGGCTTATCAGCTGTTGAAAAATACTCACTTGGCACAGTTGTTTACAGAGCTCTGAATGTTAGAATCTGACTTCCATGTCTTTAACTTGTGAGGAATCTTTGCTGTATTAAATGCAGTGATTTGGTAAAATAAACATCTGAGGACCAGGAAGACTCATTAGAGCTTTTAAATAATGAATAGTGTCTTTGTATGTCCTCAGCATAAGATGAGTTTTACTGTCCTACTTCTCTGGGAATGCAAGATGCACTACTTGGACACCAACCCACACTCCTTTCCCATTCYCTGAATCCAGGTCATCTCCTGTCACAATATGGTGCCATAATCATCATAGCCACAAAATTAGAGACCAAAACTGTTCCTGGGTACAAGGCATTGGGACATTTTCTCCAGAGTGTAGTGAATATACTGGAAGTGAGTTAACAAATTTGCCATGTGCCATCAATTTTGGGACAGGTGTTTTTGCTGTAGCAGTGACAGGCTGGCRTGTCAGAGATCTAATGGAACAGATTTCTGTCTATGCTCAAAAGGAAGCTGGTTTTTGGTCCCTCCTCATGAAATTGAGATTGGTGAGGGTACATTTACTCCTYAGGGAAGATGGTGGCATATTTAATTAAGTTCCTGGATGATTGATGTGTATTCTCACTTTCTGCAGATGCAGAAATTAGGCATTAAATGAGGCGTGAAGAGAGAGCTGTAGCTCAGTCAGAGCCAGGAACCGTGACTGTTCCTGGTGCTGACCATCAGCCTACAATCTTTTCAATATATTGCAACTAAAGGAGTATAATTGTTAATCATTTTGATAGAAAACACTTCCATTGTCAAGAGAATTTCCAGTAGTTTGAAATGCTGATGAAGATATGAAGACAGCAGGACCTAGACTAGACAACAGCTTGGTAAATTGCAAGCATTCCTGTTGGAAAAAGTTAGTCCAAGTCAGGCCAGGTGAGGATATAACCTGGACCTGACATACAAACAACCAAACAACCACCTCACCTTGCAAACATACTTTATATGAGAAAAGTTTGCAAGGTGGATRGAGAGGGAATCTCTAGGTCTAAGCTGTATCTGTATCTGTATCCAGGCTGTACCTCTCAAAGGAAAGGCAGATGTCATTTATTAGTGCAGTGATTTACAAACCATCCTCCTGGCAYTAGAATATGCCCTTTCTGTTCTGGAAAACAGTTCTTCCCTCTCCCTATCTACTCCCCAACCTGTCCATATCTGCTGTCCTTCCTCCATTGCCTCTTTCAAACCTGTCACCCCAATTTCTTTACCACAGACTGCCCTGTACTCTCTCATTTCCAACTGCACTCTAGAGTGCCTTTCCCCAGGATCCCAGGTGCCACCCTGGTTTCCCCTTGCCAGCCTCAGCCCCTGCTGCCCACACTGTGGTTGTCCAGAGAAATTGCCTTTCTCCCGTGGGCTTGATTCATGGATCAGAGCTGCACTGATGGGATCTGCACTGTACAGTGACATCCAGCACAGGTCAGGGTCCTGAGCACTTGACTTGCTCCATGCACTCTCTGGTGCAGTTTTGCACTCTTCTGCACTCAAGCTTCAGGCACTKCTGGAAAAACAGAGCAGGCTGGGCACCATCTCCAGTAGCCCACAGAGACAAGTCTGCACCAGTTTCATTTCTGTCCATGTTACACAGTTCTTTATCAGCATTCCAACAAGCTTTGCACCTCAGGCTACACTCCAGGTCTTGTGCAATACATTTTTCACATTATGAAAGCACCATTCTGGAGTGTCACACATGGTGGCTCTTGAGTCCACAGTGGTGGCTCTTGGGACACAGAGGAGACCTGGCAGCTGTCTGTGCCACTTGSCTGTTGCATCTGGGCTTCATTTTTGTCTCTGAGCAATTCAGAAGTAGCTGTTCCTGTCACGTTCTAGCTGGGCTTCTTGAAGTGGATGCACAGTGCCTGCCCTTGCTCCCCMCTTGGTTTGGCTCACCCTTCCCTAGGGAAGGGGAAAAGAGGTGAGAGCAGGACCCTGCTTAGGAAATGCCATGCACAGGGATTTCAAACTRTTTCACAAGGCAGATTTTCTGTGCCCAAGTGTTTTCAAACTCTCRTGTTTGTCATCACTGATTCAAAGGAAATACTAAATATTTCATATATTTAATCCTCCCAGGGAGGATTAAAAGGGGATGGAGGGGCAAACAAATGRTGATAGATAAAACTTTTCATCTCCRTCCTTCCTCTCCCTGCTGTTCTGTTGGCTGCTTTTTCCCTTCCTTCTCTTACCAGAGGCAGGGTACAAGAGAGTAGCTGGGTGGAGAAAACTTTCCCCCTGTTCCTGCAATGTCAGTAATGAGCTTCCAGGAAACAGCTCCTCTGCTTTGCATATGGCAGATGAGTGCTGCAGAGGTATTTTGTGGAGTGGGCTGTAGCTCTTTGGTCACAAACATGCACCGTACAAAGGACCTCCCTGATATTTGTAAAGCACTTGGATGAAGGGACTGTATGTGGAAGTATTTTTATGATGCTAATGCCACATTTACATGGAACAGGMAGCTCTGAACTCATTAACCTTTGCTTATGAGTCTGAATTAGGGATGAGGTAGCTACATGTCGTCGTTAGCATTTGTTCATTATTCTTCATGTATATGAGCATCATCTTTGCTGGACAAAAGGGCCCCGTTAGACAGGAGCACCATCAGTGAAAGGTCACAGTACTGATTCACAAAAGGATAGAAAATCCTATGCTATTGTTTGTAATTCTGAAATATTGTAAGTTGCCTCTGTGGTCATCTTTCTTGCATCACCCGAGGCTGTGGGTTTTAGTCTGAGCTCGTGTGGTCACAAAAGGTAGGGCCAGTAACATGACAGTGGCTGTGTTCATTGTTAAGTGGGGAAACTTCAAACTCTTGGTGTTTTTCTTAAGCAAAGCAAATGGATTGAGAGGAACATCACTGCTATTTTCAGGGGCTTATAAGAAAGTTTTTTTGACAGATCTATATAGTAGAAGTGATATAGCTGAATTCTTCCCTGAAGGGCAGAGTATATTTAATACATTTTGTGGTATTTTTTTCTGAAGAAATTTATGTGAAATGCCACTGTTAGCTTATGTGAAAGTTTAAACTTACTATTAAAGGATAGAGATAGGCCAAAGAATGCTGGAGGAGAAAGACCTCTCTGCCCAAGAATCCTTTGGCTTAGCTAGCCTGTAAGAATTCTTCAGGCAAGCAGAAGCAGGAGCATGGGTCMGGGGAGGGCCTGAGACCACAAAAGAGGCCATGTCAGACAGCTGAATGAAGTCACTGGACAAATGCTTGGGTGATATTAGTCAAAGAAATTGGTGAGTCTTGCCTATATTGACTCAACTTGCTGCTCATAGCTTGGGACAGCCTAGGTCCTGTAACTCTACTGACTTAACCATTACTTCAGTAGCTGAACTGCTGTAGACTTAGTTTTTTATTTTTTTTTATGCTGAAGGTGTTTAATAGAAAAGAAAAAAGCCATAGAGAAAAGGCAGAAGGGAAGGGCTAATCTGGCTGAATCTATTGGATTTTTATTTTGTGCTTATCACCTTAGTGTTTTTTCGCAAACAGCAGTTACATTTTGGAAGAAGATACAGCTGTACAAAAGTCCCAGAGTTACTGTTGTCCTATTCYTGACTCAGCCATGAGAAGGTTTTGTGCTGTTTGAGCCACAGTTCTGCAGGCATGAATAATCCTGAGTACAGAAGAGAGACTGCAGCTCATTTATGCTCAGAAATAACTGTATGCCTTAAAAACCTAATTTATGAGTGCATCACATTTTGGTTTGCAAAGTGACATTAATTGCTSCTGCAGTTACTTGTGCCAGAGGCATCTGAATATTTTTCCTTGCGTCTGTCGTCATTTCCACTGTTCTTTTTCAGTGGAAAGAGTCCTTCTGGGAGGGATTTGAGCAGTAAAGAATGTGGCATTTGAACTGGGATTATTACCTTTTAGGAGGGCAGTGAATGTGATTTCCTCGGCGGTGCTGGTGTAGGAGGACAGGCCGGCGCTGCATGTGCGCAGCGCTGCGGAGCTGCCCGTGGTGACAGTGACCAATGCAGCCCTCGGTGCTGGCTGGCGGCATTGACGTCAGCCCAGAGCTGAGAAATTAGCTGAGGCCCGCAGGGAAAATGGGCAAAGAAAAACCATATAATTCCTCAATGCAGCACAACCAAGCCATTTCTCTTTTTATATTTTAGCCTATCAGCAAGACCTGTAATGCTTTGCTCAATTTGGATTCAGAGGAAAGGTTGCCAAAAATAGAGCAGTTAAATGTCAACATTAATGGTATCACAGCAGTAAAATACTTCTCACAGCAAGATGCCTGGCTTATAGCTATTATTCACTGGTTGCCCCCTTGTTTTTAGGCAAAAATACAGCATGTCCTCTAGTCTGAAGCCACCCAGGCTTATTTGGACCAGGAATTTGTCAGCACAAACAGCATATGAGCACAGTTCCAGGAGCTGCATGTGCTAATGCAGGGCCAAATCTGCAAGCCCTTCCTTGTTGAATTACTCTGCCACAAAGTAGCTAACAAATAAAAAGCCAAATTAGTACCACATGGAAGGTGCAAGTGCTTTGATTTAAGGGCTGCCATTTCAAGGGACAACACCTGGCACTGCTGGGTTCTGCCAGTGGTGCAGCATTTAAGAGCCACTGCACCAGAGGCCAGTAGGGTTTGCTGGGGCCTCACCTTCCTCAYCTCAGATTTTGCAGGCAATGTTTTTTTTCTTTAAAGTCCTTCCTTAATKCCTTGCAATAATCAACACCTATTTGTATTCCATGTACAATCCATAGCACGTGTAGTACTAGCAGAGTGAATTCAGGACTGAAAGTCCTGTGTCTCATCCTCTGTATCCTTGTGGACTTTTGCATCAAGCCCATGTGGGCCATTCACTTAAGAGCTGGACTCGGTGATCCCTGTGGGTCCCTTTCCAACTCAGAATATTGTCTGTGAAAAAGAAAAAATCCATGTTCATCTTCCTCAGAGGAGTACTGTGTTGAGACTCAAATAAGGAATGTAGATAGTTAGAAAATATAATGTACCGTTTTAGGCATTCAGCCTGTGCTAGTGAGCATTTATAGACTGCTCTGTAATCTCATCTGCAGAGACAAAATTTGTTACAGCCCCAGCTAAAGAGCTTTGAAAGTCAAAATCCGTCTGGAGCAGAGATATGTGGGTTTTTTATTTCTGGAGAAATTAGATTAAGTGTTGAAATCTGTCTGAGGACAAGTGGGCTATAAATGGGACTGAAGGAAAGCAACAGCAAAAATAAAAAACAACCCCAACCCAACAGGTGTGAAATCAATTCAGACCAAAGGTTTTATAGGTTGGGTTCCACTTCATCTTTTTTAACATCTGCTTCTGTGTTCTTTCTCCTCGACCTGCTTTGTGGATCTATTTCAGTGCTGTCAGCCACCAATATTGGTGTCAAACCCCATTGTAGACACGCAGGTGTGTGTGTGTGTTTTATCGTGCCTTACAGACCTGTGATCAAACTGCCTCCTGGGACAGGATCCCCAGATTGCGTTGTGGCAGCTGAGAGTCCAGCACTGCTGGTGCTCCCCTGTGTTAGGGAGCAGCACACACTCACCACCCTATCCTGGTGTGGAGTATTCTGCAGTCCASAAGTGCCAACGGCTGTGTTGCTACTCAGATTGCCATCTTTTGATGTGATTGCTTTTCTCTGYTTCCAGGAGAGAAATACGAGCTTCACGCAGGAACAGAGTCCACTCCCAGTGTGGTAGTGCACGTCTGCGACAGCGACATGGAAGAAGACGAGGACCCAAAGAATTCTCCAAAGCCAAAAATCATTCAAACTCGACGCCCCGGTGTGCCACCGCCTGTATCTAACTGAGCCTCTCCAGCGGAAGCAGCACTTCTCTCTCCTCCAACACAGCTCTTGGTTTCTGTTTGCTTTGTTCTGTTGAAAGGCAGCCTTTGCCTTCTGAGCACCGGGACATTAAGGTCATTGAAACCCTTTCACAGTAATCAAGCCTCTGTAACAAAAGGGCTAGGAAAAAGATCTTTGTACCATATCACATACCGATAGAGTAGCTGGAAAGGACAAAACAAGGCTGAGGAAACAAGGAAGGGTTTCAGTCTGAGGATCTTTTCACAGCTGTAATTTGCATGCTGAAACACCACTACTAGAGACATCGTTTGGGATGGGAATTAGGCCAATACTAGGCTTGGTATTCTAACTCCCGGGATTGCTACTGCCCTTCATCAAGCAGCTGCTCCTCTGCCCTCCTCACTTCCCAACAGACCTCAGTCTTTTCCCTTTTCCCTTTTTTTAAGGGGGGTGGTTGTGTTGTTTTTACCCTACTAGCAGCTTGGTGGCCTTTTCACCCCCTTGGAATTTTGTGTAAGGAATACTATCTTTGCAACGTTTGTAGAAACAACAGAAAACAACCTTCTCCCACCAACAGTTGTAGAAACCAGAGGTCTGAAATGGTGGCAGGGATGTGAGATGGATCTCTCTGGGCTGAGGCGGGAGGCAGCAGCTGCTGGGGGGTCTGGTGTCTGTCAGTCCTTYTCTCTGAGAAGATGGGAGCCAGAATATCAACAGGGATTTTCAGTTTATCTTCCATCAGGGGATGAGTGGTGCTTCTCTCCAAGTCTGAGGAAGAGGAGCTGACTGGCTGCTCATGTAAGATGGGATTCCTTGCTCTCTGTCATAGCTGTACGTTCCAGTAATGTTACAGGCTGAATGCTTTCCTAGTGGTGTGGTGAATAGCCCTGAAACCTTCAGTAATTACTTGCACATCTCTAATATTCAGCCCTTTTCTCTCCCCACTTCCTGTGCTTCAAAGCCCTTTTTGAGCTGTATGCAGTTTGCGTTCGTGGAGGTGAGCAGAGGTTGGTTGAAATTGTTTCGTTAGGTTTTTTTTTTTCTCTTTTTTTAGGCCAAAGAAAACAGGACCATAATTACACACTTGAAATTAGACTGCATGCAACTGAATCCCCTTTTTTCACCCTGTCCTGCATGTTTCTTTCACTTGCAATATATACTGGGTTACAAAAACTGTTCTGTGTTTGCATCATGGCTGACAGCAGACAGATCCCGGATTCCCTGTCTGGCAGACCTTCCATGATGATTTATTTTTTTAATGCGTACTTGTCATTTTGAGAACATATTTTCTAGACATTTGAGCTCAGATTTTGCATATATTTAAGCATGCGCTTAATTTATGCACATGAGTAGTACCACTGAAATTAATACTGCAGAAACTGAACATAAGTGTAAGGTATGGTGGGATTTTTAAGCTAATTAGCTGCAGCTGTACCCCCCAAAGTAACTATAAAATGGCACAGTGAGCTTCCATGGTTTAAAAGCCTTTACAGCTTAAAATAAGTAAATACATCTTGGAAGCTTATTCTAGGATATGAGAAGTCAGCTTTGGTTCTGTAATCAAGATTTTTGTCATAAAACCTAATGATCTGGTTTCTGAGGGAGGGTTCYATCACACCCTTCATTAGCAGCAAGGCTACAAAGCTTCAGCAGAGTCAAGTTCCCCTTGCAGGGGTCTTGGCTCTGCGGCACTTCCAGGACAAGTGGCGTGTTGCTCTGTCAGTGAGGACAGGAGATGGCATTCACATTGTGCATGGTGAGGACATCTGAGAATGAGGACTTGTCATTCTCACACAGYTCATCCTCTGACTGCCACAGCCCCCTGATATTCTTGATGAGGTGTAGTGCTTTACTCAGCACATTTCTATAATGTGATGCTTGGTACTGCATTATGGACATAATTTTGTGCATGTTRCACTGATAGAATTCTGCACATTAAATACAGCAGAGACTGAACTGAAAATGGGGCTTTAGTATCCTTATGGTATCTGTAAAATTTTCTTAAAGTAATTCCTTAGAAGTTTCACTGCAATTATTTTTTCAGTGATACRTTTTGGTTTAATGAAACAAATTGTCACTCAGCCCTAGGAATATATCCTTTTGAAAACACCAATATCAGCCACACTCGATATTTCAGAAGTAACACCACTGTTTTTTTGCCAACATACCCAACACTGATGTCTGTGGGGTTTAGCCCAGTATCAACAGGGACAGTAAGATTTGAATATGCGAGTGGTCAGAGATACCACCAGTGGAGTTTTTTACAGGCAAGATTGTAGGAGACCAYATCTTGTCTTTGTGTCCTCAAACTTCAGAGAGACTTGGCTCTGAACTAAGGACTTAAACTTCAAATGGTGTAAAACTATACTGCAAATTAAAGCATTGGACCTTAAATGTTMTTTCCTCAAAGTGCATTTTCAAACAGATCTAAAATGAGGCCCCGTTCAGTGACTCCTGTGTGGTTTGTAAAGCTGTGTGGTGCTACCCAAGAGGCAGGAGGACATGGCTCATTGCTTGGAGCACAGAAATAGAAACACAATCACATACCTGAAAATTCAGAGCAGCCTCTATGGTAAAGCTTATATATCACCTGGATGTGAAAAAATAATGSTCATCATTAACAAAAAAAGTGTTTCAGATATTATGGAATAATGTCCCTATCATCAAAGTATCAGCATTTGGGACTCAAGAGAAGCTGGTATTTTACTGAAGGCTGGTTCTTGCCTGACATGGAAAGAAGCTTTCTTTCACAAAATGCTGACTATGTGGAAGGGGAATTATTATATTTAATTCAGTAAATAACAGGCAGAGCCCCTACTCATTTGAGTGGGAATTTGCTTTCCTGTAGCTCCTCTGAGGTCAGTCGCTCGGACTTGCACTTCTCACGGGGTATCAGGGGGTTCTCTCATGCTGGAATCCTGGAAGAATGAAGTTTCAGTGTTACATTGTGGCTCCTGAGGCACAGTGGCACAGTCGACATTCTTTTAATTTCCTCCCCAAAGCAGGAGCCCGTGGGAGCAGCTGGAGGTGATGCCCTGGGGCCTCTGTTGGGTGGACATGGCTCCTGCTGCTCCTTGGAAATTAAATGAAGGAAGCCAGGGGAGTATAGCTGCTGTTTCTGTTGCCTGCTGCCTGCTTGTCCTTTCTGACCTCTGAAGATATGAAACTGACATTTTAATTACTTCCTCAATACAGTTTAAAGCATGAAAACATTTCCAGTGCATGGAGAAAAGGTATTTTGGAATCTGCTCTTTTGGAACAAAACAACAAATTTCTGTGGCCTTGATTTTTGTAATTAAGACAAGGTACTACAAACTCCCCCATTCCTAACACACACAGACACACTCCAGTAAGCTTTGTTTTCAGCCTAGAAAATATGGCAAGAGCATCCCTTCCTCAACTATAGCAAGACTATAGGCATAGATACTGCAAAATGTTTTAGGTTATAAAAATTCTCCCCCTGCATAAATTGTGTAGCATTAATTTGTTCCTAAATTGGGGGAGAGGGGTGGGTTTTATTATGGTCTTTTCTGCCCTCTCTCCCATTAAGCAACACTGAAAAAAGCTTTCAGCAAAAATACAGATTGTTTGTACCAAGGAATGGACTGAACTCCTGTCAGGATGCAATTCCAGTGGTTTGTCTGAGCACTGTCACAGATGCAGTGAGCATTTCCCTTGTATTGTACATAACTTTTGAAATATTCTATTTAGTCATATTTTATAGGAGTATTAAAAAGCTACTGGCTAATTAATCACTTTTACACTTGTATAATTCAGAGCTTAGTTTAAAATAATAAATATGGCAAACAGTATTTTTGTGTTCTGCTTGCATTGGCGTTTGAAAAAGCAACATTTAAAGAGTTAAACTATATCAATAAACTGAGTAGTGTGGTGTGTACCCCTGGTAGAGCTGAAAATGCTTAAATGTGTGACATAGGCCAAACTGTGTTTCAGTAGAAATTAGGGGGAAAGCAGCCTTGTTGTTGGCAGGATGTGCCATGTTCCATTTTAAGCTGCTGCAGTTTCACAGTCATGTGAACTTGCTCTGGTTTGCTGTGGATTTGGCTCAGTGTGCACAAAAAAAAAGCTGCAGTGCAGTCCCTGGTGAGCAAAAGCTCAGCATGTCCCAGACCACTGATGTGCTTCTATAATCATGGGTGATGCAGTGGCCATGAGTGCTTGGACAAGGAACGTGGCATCCAGCTGCCAGCCAGGCTCGGGAAAGGGTTCTGTTAACATTCATTATTATAAAAATTGAAACTCACTGTTATCTCTTGCATCAGTTTGTACTGGGTCTTGCAAAGGACTGGAAACTGGGAGATGAGTTTGCTGATAACTGTCCTGTGAAATTCTAATATTGAATTGCTCAGATCTGGATTTGGGAAAATGTTGTTTTCTGGGAAAATCAGATCTGGATTTGGGAAAATGTTTGTTTTTCTGTGCGCCTGGCATAAAAAGCTTAATTTCTCAAAGGATGATTGTTCACGATTTTGAAAATTAGATCCACTCAAGTCACACTGAAGATGTAAACACTGAGCTCTTTAATTCCATTGGAAAGGCCAGGCTTTATGGGTTTTGATTAAAAAAAAAAACCAAAAAAAAAAAACAGTAATAGTGAACTTCTGGGGTTCTTTTCACCTCTTTTACAGGTAAAATGCAGGAGGCGTGGTTTATTTTTCACTTTGAGCACCAAAAGATCTTCCCCCACCGCAGTGAGTTTCTTCATCTGACCCCACTGAATTTTTGTGTTTGTGACATGCTGGCTGTGGCTCTTCCATCGTGCTTGGCACTAGACAGCACTGGGAAATGAGCTTCAGGGCTTCAGCTGTGGATGGCAGAGAGCTGTGTCCCACAGGATCAGACTGATCATAGTCACAGTGCTTTCAGATCCTCTAAAGAACCTTTACTTTTGGTCATTCTTTAGTGGCAAACACTTCATCACTAAACTTCTTTGCCATTTCAGGCTTTCTCCCACATACCAATGTGAATGTAAAACCTTTACATTTTCTTGATTCCCTTTTTTCTAAGAAATCACATTTAGTTCTGGTTTATCAAAAGCAAAACCAGGTATGGATTAAAGTCCCAGCCAGCCCCTGATTTATACTCAGCACCATGCAATGCTCTTGAATACCTAGTTACACTGGCAAAAMCCCCAAACATTACTTTTCCTGGTTTAACCCATCTTCTGGGAGAGTACAGCAGCTTTCAATATTCCAGGCTTCTCTTAAAAGGAGATGTTTTTCTAGCAGTAGCTGTGCTCTTACTTTGAACACATTTAGACCTAGCATTCAGGGGTAAAATGACAAGGGAGGAAGTGTTGTGAAAGCTCTTTCCCACAGGTCTATTTGAAGTGTGGAGTATATTTGCTTTGGCTTGGAGGGGAGGGAAGCCAGAACCATTAGAGGCAGAACAGCAGCAGCACTCTCAATGGAAGGGCAGGAACCCTGAAARCCCCCACTGCAGAGATGCTCAGAAAGCTTTAAAAACCTGAATTCTCTCTCCACTTCTGTGAGTTTGTTCAGTCGTTACGAAGAGATTCTGGAGCTGCAGTTAGAGTCATCTTAATGTAGGATTGCRTCCTGATGCAGCAGCTACAAAGCCTAGATAGGGACATTTGTTAGGGAGATTCTTGCTGGAGTAAGGCTGGGAAAGCTGTRAAGTGTGAGCAGCCTTGAAGTTAATGAAAAATGAAGATATTCAGAACCTTAAGACAGACTTCAGGATTCAGATCCGTGTACCTGAGAGCTGTGTTAAGGGCCCATTTGAATCAGGGGTTTCCTCACTTAAAACAGAGTATCCAGCAAGAAGGATTAAACTTCTCTATTATTCTCACCAGATAATCAGCCTTCTTTTAACAAATTATTGTAACTGATCATTTATCTAGTGCAAGAAAGTTGTGTCTACATTAGTGTCACACAGATGTGTTCTCCTCACTGTTGGGTTAATGAAGGTAAATGTTTTGAATCCGTTTTAGAGCAGAGTTCTTGTACAGAAACTTCTGAAAGAAATGCCATCTGTAAGAACTGATGGATCCTTAAGTGTCCGTTTGGCAAGTTGTCTTACTGTGGGTAGCTGCAGAAATATTTCGTGTATGYTGTTGTAGATTTAAAAGCATTACTCATGGTTTCATTCGAGTGTCTACATTTCTGACACAGATGTGACRTATCTGTATATATTATAAATCAATACTATTTTTAACCACATATTTTGTACAAATATTCACATTAGCTCTGTACTTCAATGAAAATCTATTATGGTATTAAACATTTTGGTGGAATTAGCACACTGCTTGTYCGTGCTTTGCTTTAATTTTGTAACAGTGTTAAGCAGCTTAGCCGTTTCTGGCATCCAAGGCAAATATTTTCATTTCCAGCTATTCATGTTGTTACTGAAATCCAGGTGCACCTGTACCCTCTAGTGACTGATCSCAGCCACTGCAGAGGCAGCTCCCAACCCCTCCGGATCCGAGTGARAGGCCAGAATCAAACCCGAACCAACAGTAAATGTGAGCACATTTTATTTTTGGTAATGAGTAACAGCGTGGGACAGCACACTGCTGTTGAGGGAGACACCCARCTAGAGATTCCAATGCACACAGGTGCAGTTTTATAACAACTTTTTCCTATTTACCCTTTCTCCAAAGTTTTGGGTGGGGTTCATGGCCAGGAATCGGATGATGAACTTGGTGCTACAGCACCAAGGTGTGGTCCAGTGCAGTTTTCTGTGTAGAACAGCCACATCCACACAGGTTCTACCAAACACAGCAGGAGTGTGATTCTCTGGGCTTGGACTAGCTCAGCCTCACACCTGTAACAGGACAGTATTGAAGGAGGGAAAAAAAAGACATTAAGAAAACAATTACAAGAGCCTTGTCTCCTACTACAATCCCTAGATCAGCTGGGTGAAGGGGAGAAAGGTACTTACATATGTAATTTTACATATATATATATATTCACCACATAGGTAGTACATATATGAATACACATATCTAGATTATTCAACAGATAGGTARTGTCAGCTATAAAGTGATTAATAAGCAGCCCGTTTGATTTGATAATTCTGTATGGTTGGGCTTGATGATCTTACAGGTCTCTTCCAACCTTGACAATTCTATGATTCTGTGTTCCCAAGCAGCAGTAAGAGGATAATGGTTTTGTACTCTGCCATGAGTTGGGGTGGGGCTTGTGTCTGTACACAGGACACAGACTTTGGACTCAAATGTAGTGTAGATCTTCAACTAGGAAACGTGGGAAACCTAGCTTGGATATTTGTCCCCTTCAGTAGTTTAGTAAGCTGAAGAAGGATAAACTTATTTTTCTCTTCATTCCAGGGCATAGCTGTGGGTCTGGATATCCCAAGATGGGGAAAACATCTGCCAGGAAGCAAATAGAAAATTTAGAGCCTCAAAACACAAGAGGAGAAAATGGCTGATAGAAAAACAGCAGAATCAAAACAACTGTTCGTTAGATTTTTTTTTTTTGTTTATTTATTTTTTAACTGAAGAAGCATTTCCAGATATCCAGAATGAATTTTGCTCMTGGTTTTTACAGTTGGGTCACAGCCCAGCCAGCCCTGCCTGAGCCCTATTTCTATTAATTTCTATTTAATTTATGACACATGCATCAACACCCTTACAACCTGCCCCTCTTGACACCTGCACAAGTGCTGTACTCACTCCGAACACAACCCGAAGTCACCTCACCTGTGTCCTGAGCTGCTGGTGACATGACAGCAGCTGAACATGAGCCAGGTGTGCYCAGGTGGGTGGGAAGGYCAGTGKCACCTGGGCTGTACCAGCCATGGTGTGGCAGCAGRRCCAGGGCAGTGACTGTCCCCTGTCCCCTGTGCTGGGCACTGCTGAGGCCACACCTCGGGTGCTGTGTCCARTTCTGGGCCCCTCAYGAARACAAAGACATTGAGGGGCTGGAGCGTGTCCAGGGAAGGRAACGGAGCAGGGGAAGGGTCTGGAGCACAAGGAGCAGCTGAGGGAGCTGRRRGGGCTCAGTCTGGAGAAARGGAAGCTCGGGGGGGATTTTCTCACTCTCCACAACTCCCTGACAGGAGAGTGGAGCCGGGTGAGGGCYGGGCTCTGCCCCCAGGGAACAASGACAGGACGAGAGGACATAGCCTCAAGCTGAGCCAGAGGAGGTTTAGGYTGRACATTAGGSAGAATTTCTTCASAGATATGATAATTGAGACATTAGAAAGGGCGGCCCAGGGACAGGGTAGAGATTATTCTTGTCTGGCGGTATTTAAGAAAGACTGTACACGGCTCTGAGGGCCATGGTTTAGCTCGGTCACAGGCTACACTCCGCGATCTCACAGCTCCTTCCCGACCAAAATGACGCCGTGCCTCCGTAATTCCGTGTCCCCTCACGGCCGGCCCGCCCCCGCGGTCCCGCCCCACACGCGCTGAGTGACAGCGCCGGGGCCGCTGCGGGCGGGGCCGGGCCGGAGCCGCTGCTCCGCGGCCCCTCAGGTAACGGCGGGGCGGCTCCGGGGCTCGGGGGTGTCCGGCCCGGGGCTGAGGGGGGTGCGGGCGCTGCGTGTGGGGAATGGCGGCCTGGGCTCGGCATTCGCGTGTGCTGAGCTCCGGCGGCMGCCGAGCGCGGCCCGGGGCGCTTCTCTGTCTGTATTGTCGGTCCGTGCGTCCGTGTGGCAGCTCCTGYCCTTGGCAGAACGGCGGGTTCGTCCCCCCAGAGCCCCTCGGGTCCCCAGGGTTTTGTGGTGCCGAGATCTGCAGAGACCCGGCTCAATAGAGGTGCTTAGGCTGTATCYGGGGAAGAACAGTATGAGCAGGCCTTGGAAAAAAACCAAACCACCCATCATYTATTATTTACTAAGCGTTAAGGAATTAGAATAATGGATTTGTAGATCATGTTGAGATCATTAACTGTTTAAAATTCAGAAGTAAAGACTTGATTTTACTTGAAAGGACTGCGGTCTGTACTTGTTCCTCCCCAGAAAGAGAATTTATGAGCTATGTCTAATTCGGCAGCTGGGGTTCCCATGAATACAACAGTGTGTTGTCCCTTCGTCCTTCAGGTGTTAGAAGTAGCCCATCAGGTGGATCTGAGGGAATCTGTATCCTTCGGGTCTGTGTTGTTTACTGAAAGGGGAATTATGTCTCTAGAGTGTCAGTTTGTTCTTAGCAGAACTCAAGGCCTGGATTTTAATTTTGAGAAACACACAGGTTTGGTGTAACATTTGACTGCCTGCAAGTCGTAGAATCCTAGAATCACAGAGTGGTTTAGGTTGGAAGGGACCGTATTAAAGCTYGTCTTGTTCCARCCCCCTGCCATGGGCAGGGACACMTTTTASCAGCCCAGGTTGCTCCAAGCCCTRTCCTACCTGSCCTTGAACATTTTCAGGAATGAGGCAGCCGCAGATCCCATTCTATTGTTGCAGGGGTATTCAAATGCTTGTTAGACTGTAATTTCCTATATTCACTAGGATATTTATGTACTCTGAGTATTGAGATGGATTTATTGTTTGCAGATGCACTGTTTCCCAGCTGAATTTCAGTAGTGACTGAGTCCCAGAGGATTGCTGAAAATTGGGATCCCAAAGGGAGCTGTGAGGAATATCGGTACTGCCCACATGCAGGATTGGACTGAGCAATATCTGGTCTTGTGGTTAAATGATGCTGTTGAGCAAGAAATGGGAAATACTAGCATGAAATTTTAGGTCAGTTACAGATAGGGAAGTTCTGTGTGAGGGTTCTTACAGGGATCTTACTTTAGTAGATAGCTGAGTTTTAAACAAGATGTTTGGGAAGAACAGGAGGAAACTGGGTCAAGGGAGCACAACCCAATACAATGTGAAATTATGTGTCATATTTTTTCAGATAAGGGCATAATAAGGACTGTTAAATAAGGAATTCAAGTCATAGTAGGAGTAGTCAATATCYGTGAGTCTTGTGATCAGAATTAGAATCACAGAATGGTTTGGTTTGGAGGGAACCTTAGGAATCATCTYRTCCAACCCCCTGTCATGGGCAGGGACACCTTCCACTATCCCAGGTTGTTCCAAGCCCTGTCCAWCCTGGCCTTGAACACTTCCAGGGATGGGGAAGCCACAGCTTCTGTAAACCTGTTCCAGGGCCTCACTCCCCTCACAGTAAAGAATTTCTTCCTAATATCTAATCTAGCCCTGCCTTCTTTCAGTTTAAAGCCATTGCCCCTTGTCCTGTCACTGCATGCTTTTGTAAAATATTATTTTAGAATATATAAATACATAAGGAATATTTTACCCACTCATTCTTTAAACTAAGTTATGACTTTGATAACTTCTGTCTCTGCTCAACAGATGCCATGTTGCCTCAGAAGATGGGACAGACACCTTCCAGAATAGCCATGAGCAGTTATTGGAAAGTCTTGGGAATTTTCTTACTCTTTCTTCAAAGTGCATTGTCTCTCCAGCCAGCCCAGCCCAGAGTGCTGCTGGTGTCCTTTGATGGCTTTCGGTGGGATTACATCTACAGAGTCCCCACTCCCAATTTTCACTATGTCATGAAGAACGGGGTGCACGTCAGGCAGGTCACAAACGTGTTCATAACGAAGACGTACCCCAACCACTACACCCTGGTGACCGGGCTCTACGCAGAGAGCCACGGCATCGTCGCCAATGAGATGTACGATCCTGTCCTGAACGAAACCTTCTCTCTGAACAAAATGAACACCCACAACTCCAAATTCTGGGAAGAGGCCAGCCCAATATGGGTGACGAACCAGAGGGAAGGACACAAATCTGGTGCTGCTATGTGGCCTGGAACRGATGTGAAGATACATGGAGTCTTGCCCACACATTATATGCCCTACAATGAATCTGTTCCCTTTGAAGACAGGGTAGCGAAGCTCATTGACTGGTTTACATCAGAAGAGCCCATAAACTTTGGTCTGCTGTACTGGGAACAGCCTGATGAGATGGGCCACTTTCTGGGCCCGGAAAACCCACATATGGGARCAATAATCAGTGACATTGACAAAAAACTGGGATATCTTATTGCTGAACTGAAGAAAGCAAAGCTGTGGGGTGTGATAAATGTCATAGTCACAAGTGATCATGGAATGTCACAGTCATCCTCAGAAAGGCTCATTGAACTTGATCAGTATGTGAGCAGAGAGCTRTATAAAGTCATCGACCACTCTCCTGCAGTAGCCATTTTACCCAAAGAAGGTAGGAGCTACAGCAGTAACATTCCCTGAGGAGGTACTTGAGTATCCGGACTTTATAGACTGAGTTTGTGGTAGCAGCACTGATGGCAGTAGGACATCAGCCTTGAACAAGGAGTACTTGCAGGATCTCCTTGTTCTTTTTCTAGGCTCTGTCAAAAGCCTGGATTAAATCTGAGAAAAGAAAAGGGAGCAAATCTGTTCGCTGTTGACTAATATTGCCAAGGATCCTTTAGTCCTTGTGAGCAGTAAGATAATCTAATGGCATTATCAAGGCTGGGTGGCATTCTAGATAGATAACACCTGAATGTTACATATCTTGCCTTTCATCAAGATGCTGAAACCATAGTGGAAGAATTATATTTCTAACTCAAACAGTAAACTGAGAACAGATGGGGATCTTTGATAAAAAGAAAGCCTGTGYTGGCTATTTGATTCGCTGCCAGCTATTGTAGTTCACTTGAGGTTTTYTCCCTTGTCATGCTGAACAGCCAGCCAGTTACACTCATACCATTTTTATTGTGATAAAGATGGGGAAGAATGATGTTGGAATTGAAGTCTGAAATCTTGTTGCAGTCACTGAGGGGTTGCTGAATTGTCAGATGTATGTTCAGTGTCACTAATGCATCTGCTCTTTACTTTGATGACCAGGTGCTGTAAACTGCTTGGTGCAAATGTGTTAACCTGGAAAATAACACTCCTRCCCACACAAAAGAAATGCTGATTTGGAAATTGAGTTTTAAGGTGGCCTTCTGGAAAGATGTTTTTTAAGAATTTTGTAATATTTGCATCACTAATGGCTAGATAGCACTCTGTATTTAATACCTCAGTAGGGAGGGTGCTTTGCAGACTTAAGTGACCTTTGCATACATGAACAAATGACTCTTGTAATTTTTAATTTGAAAGATACTTCGGACTAAAATGTGGGTGTGCTCTAACTGAGGTCTCTGCTCTGTAAGCACAGTCAGGCCCTGTAGCTGGGTGCTGTTTSTCCTTGTGGGGATAAAACAGCTAAGTTTGGGAGCTCCATCCCCATAGAGGCAAACATGGCTTACCAAGATGTTCTCATTAGCAAATAAAGAGGCTGTAAAAGTAAACTTCGGTTCTGAAATGTCCCAAATGCAGTAAATGACAACTTTAAGATGTGTAACTTGATTCTCCTGTCTGCTAAATGCTGAAAAGAAACAGTATCTCTGCAGCAATTAGATGAYGGAATAGTAAAAGAGCCATTTCAGTGGATTTCAGAAACAGCTTGGATTCAATTTTGCCCAGAGATTCAGGTATTTATTACACTACCAATAAACAAGAATTAGTTTTGGGCACAGCTGAAATTCTTTACTTCATGGTACCAGCTGTGCTTTTTATTATAAAACAATGAACTTCACTGCCAGTTTAGGTATGAGCTAACATATGCTTAAGTACATAACACTGATTCTTCTCTTGTTATTACATTTGTCTTTCTAAAACCAAGGGAATGGTAAAACTTAGTGAGATACTGAGAAAAAGTTTGATTGCTTAAAAATGCAGCAATTTCTTTTAACTGTYTGGATGTGTATTTCTTCCCCAAGAGAAGGATTAAAGCCATTTGCTGGTGTATTAGGGTGTGTGTGGAACTCAATACATGTTCACAAAGAAGGTACCTGTAGCACAGCTGGTGATGCTGGCCTTTTTCTTGCATTTAGTGTAAATATATTCATGCAAATAATTAGTGTAAAATCAAATTTGCTGTATTTGGGGCTTCTCCTCCCTGCCATCCCATATAGAAAAGTAACATAGCGAAATTGACTTTACTACTGTCCTAGAAACACTACATTGGAGTCCCTCTACTTGTTGCTGTAACTGTCATCTTTGCTTTTGCTATCTCATATGGACCTTTATTTTGTTTCTTAATTTAGTGATTCCTTTTTCTTTGTGCCAGTTTGAGATAAAAAACATACATTAACATATTTCCTTCAGAATGTATACATTAATGTATTTTCCCTCTGCATTTCTATACTGGATTCCAGGATCTGAGGGGGAAAAGGAAGATGGTTTCTTTAGAAACAATGRCTACCTCCTCCTCAATTTTTTTCCCTAAGATCCATTCAAAATTTCATGGGTGCTGGAAATGGCAGGCTGAAAGGGGCCTGYAGACACTCGCTGTGCTCTCAGCTGCCTATGTGGCACAAAGTACTCACCTAAGTCATAGAGCTGAGGGATATGTGTTTCACAAGAGTCTGTTCTGTGCACTGCATCGCCCTCAATAGGAATCTAGCCTGAAGTGGAGGGTGGGAATGAAGAAATTTGTTCAGGTGTCAATTCCTGACCTTGCTTTTGTATTCTTGGCTGTCTTTTCTGGTTCCTCCTCTCTGTGCGCTGGTGTTCCAGCCAGCTTGTCCAACTGTGGCTCTTCAGTGGCTTCTACTGGAAAGGCAAGCTCAGAAACTGGGAATAAGCAATTAAAGAATTGTGGGTGGAAAATGCCTATTTATTCAGTGATGTTGGTAGAGTTCTTGAGGGTTTGTGCTCCCTGACTARGGAAGGGAAAAGAGCAGGCACTGGGAATACAGAAGAGTAGCTCATGCTGTTGGCTGTAACTGAATAATAAAGGAAAGCAAGAAACAATTAAACTGCTTTAAAATAGATGAAAAGTGTCACTCATGGCTAACTGGGGGGACAGACAGAGTTGAGCCTGAATGCAGCCATGATATCATGAACGTGTTTAGGAGCTGTCTTCTCGCTTTCAGGCTTTGGACAGAGCTAGGAGGTTTGGTTCCTTTTCCAGGAGACAACTGAATGCTTCCTAACAGATTCCTGTGAAAAGTTATCATCTTACATTCTGATAACTGTGAAATGAGGGATTTTTCTAAAATTAGCAAGGTACTTATTGCTTGGGAACAGGCTGTGAAGTCTGGTGCTGAGGGGGATCTTACTGTGACTGAGGCTCTGGATTACTCGCAGTAACTTCCATGCACATGTTGTTTCTTACAGCTATAATTCACRTCTGAGGGAAGTCCATTTTGCCCATTTTTTTCAGCTGTCTTTTAACTACTGATGAGTTAGTAAACATACTGGTATGTTTAATTTTTTTCTTTTGTCTCTTGTTTGTTTGAAGGCAAACTGGATGAAGTATATGAAGCTTTGGCCAACGCTCATCCCAACATGACTGTATATAAAAAGGAGCAGATTCCAGATAGATTTCATTACAAACACAACAGTAAAATTCAGCCCATCTTAGCAGTGGCTGATAAAGGATGGGAAATTGTACATAATAAGACTGATGGTTTTCTACGTAAGTATTCTGTCTTTATAGTGTTTTGCTGTATCTTTCAAGGCAGGGACCTTATGTGGTACTTTCTCTCCTAGTACCAACCAATGCTCTTTTTTTTCAGGCTGGGAGAGAAAACTAAAGTGTGTAGAATTTATATTTTTTTTTTACTGATGGAATGGGAAGCACATTCCTGTTAGGCGTGGAGAATCTGAACTTACTGTTTTTTTAAATATTAAACTTACTGAGATAAGATCAATCACATGTTTTAGCAGCCTCATACTTGAGGTCTTTCAGAATGTAGCAAACCACCAACCACTTCCTGAGAGATTAAAAAAGAAAGTTGTAACTGAATTTGTTGAGTAGCAGGTGAATAGGGTTATTTTATCATGTATTACTTACTGGAAAAGGGCTGGGTCAGAAATAGACAATTTTCTGAAAGTCCTCAGCTTGTGTAGATGCTACACTTAGCTCCGTCTATTACTACGAAGAGTTTTCTGATATTGTGTTACTGCACACCAGTGATTTTCATTTGCCTTAGTGGAAAAAAAAAGACATCCTAGGTGATTTGGAGGAATAAAAAACCCACCACTTCTGAGTTTCTCACCTTCGGTTTTGAGATTTGTTATAGGTAGGATGGTGTCCTAGGGTAGAAAGTGAGCTGTAACTTTTTGGTTACTTAGGAGGAAAAATACAGGTGTTGCGTGGTCAGTTCTTACATTTCTAATTGCGAACCTTTTAAAATTTCCTGCTCGTTATGAACCTGAAGAGCATTACCAGTAAGACTTAGCAAGTTTTTCAGTAGCTGCTGAGAGCAGCTTCTTTTGCCTGTGTTTGACATGTTCCCAGTTTTTMATGTCCCTGTCAGGAATGAGCACTGGACACCCACTACTGAGGTATTTTTCCTTCTTGAGGAATTGATAGTGTACAAAACTGGAGAAAATGTCAAAGTGTCAGATTCTACATGTTCTTTTTAATTTTCTCTAAGAGATCCAAACCAGTTGCAAAATTGGAGATTTTCCTTGAGAAAAATCAATGAAAATTGGGTGTGCATAGATAGCATTCCATTGACAATGCTGTTACTGCCCTATGAATTCACCTTTGTTTTCCCTGTGTCAAATAGTGCTCTCCATTGTGGGTTTTTCAGGTTTTGCTCTTCGTAGCTCTGAGACTTGGTATTTGCTGGGAGACATTTGTGCTGTCAATCAAAATAATTCTTATAAACCTCTTTAAGGATAACTGATGGCTGTGCCTTTTCTGCATTCTCCTGGTTCTAGGAAAAGGTTCAGTGCTTGTTCTGCAGCTTCAGGATATTGACCTTTATCTCTTTTATTTCTAGTCGGTAATCACGGATATGACAACGCTGTACCAGAAATGCATCCTCTTTTTTTGGCAGTCGGGCCTGCTTTCCGAAAGAACACCACCAAAGAATTCATGAATGCTACAGACTTGTACCCCTTACTGTGCCATGTGCTTGGTATCAGCCCACTGCCCAACAATGGTTCCTTCAATGCTGTGAAGGATTTACTTGCTGAAGAAGTTCCTGGAGCCCGTGGAACAGACACCTACTCCACTGTTGTAGGAGTCTTCCTGGGYAGCTTGCTTGTTTTGGTTTTCACTGCAGTTTTTGTTAAGCATTTTGTCCTCGCACAAGCAAATTCCATGCAAATCCGACACACTGAAGCTGCCCAGCCACTGCTGCAAGATTAATAACTTGGGATTATTTCCTGTGTGAGGCTTAAAATAAGCCTATACAAAGAAAATAAACAATGGAGGTGGATCAGCATAAATATGAGGAGTGAAAAGAGATGGATGCTGATCCATTGGTACTCTGGGGCATGTAGAGACCAGGTATGCAGAGAGAGAGCATGTTCCTGTTTCACCCTGCAGCCACTTCATCTTCCAGGATACTCTAGGTAAACCTGGAAAGCTCTATGTCTATTAGACCTGTAGTGACAATAGACCTCRAATACCTTATTATGGCTATTTTTAGAGAAATAACATCAACTGGGGTGTACTTCACAGACTGTTAAATGGTGATTTAGTTTCCCACCCTTTTTTTTTCTTTTATTCTTTTTGAGGTTTTTTGAGTCTCTTTGTTTCTAACAAGTCACTGAATGGTATAAAACTTGTTTTTTTCTTCCCTGCCCAAGGACGCTTTTGCATGAATCACCRTTACAGATAACTTGGTGGGAAAAAATAACTTGGTGAAGGAAAAAAAACATTATTATTCAGCTAGGTCATGCAGTGATAAGTRTCTTTAGTTTAGAGTTAGATATATTTCTTCAAACTACTGTGTTAATTGTAGCCCCAAAATATGAATCTAAGTGGTATTGCCTTTAACAATCAGCATTAAACTGCTTGATTCTTGTTTTTTTTTAAAAATTATTTGGATAAATATAGGTCTTTACCACTTTAGGTATGATTTTAGGTAAATGTAGGTCTATACTTTTTGTACTTCTTGTACACTGCACTAAATTTTCTAGGAGTTCCATGCAGCTGACAGGATAAAGACACGCACAAGCACTGAACCTGTATATCCAAATGGAGTCTTTTCTGTTTCTGTGGTACAAAGGAGGTGGATAAGTTAAGGAAGATGGATGTTCAGGCTGGTTTCAGAGTGCTGTCAGGCTTATCCCTGGCTGTGCATCTGATCTGCTGCTGGAGACTGTGAGTTAACTGTGAGTTTGACTTGTGTCTTGTGCTCTGTCTGGGTGGGTCTTGGAATGGGGTGATCAGGACTACACATGCAGTTTAAGGGGCAGCTGTATAAACCRTAAGCCATATACATTCTTAAATCTGAAAAAGCACACTTTAATAATTAAAAAAAAGGTATAAAACTGGAGTTGTTTTTCTGGAGGAAAGCCTGTGTCAGGGAAAAATATTAAGTCTGAGTCACCTAAGATACATATTATTCTCATTTTTTTGTGTATGGCAATAAATCTTCTTGCTAGTATAGTTGTGGGGGTTTTTGTGAGCTCACTAAAGTGGTGAGAAGCTGCTGACTAAAGTTTTAATGAAAAATGTTCTGAAGCGAGAAAAGTTATCTATTGTCAGACTTCCCCTTCTCCCTGTGTGAGGTAATAGTATTTCTCAGCACTTTGCTGCTGAATACAATGCCTGAAGGAGAAAGAAACTTTCAAAATTCATGCAGAAATACAGATTGAGTATTTTTAAGTGCAATTTATGGCTGTATCCACAGCCCCCAGCAGAGAGCAAGGATGGGAACACCTTGGCTCTGGATGTGCTCTGCCAAACTGAGGGCGTGACTGACAGTCAGTACTGCAAGGGGAGGGTTGGGGTGCAAAATTAATTTTGCTGGGCTAAATTCCAGACTTAATGAAGATCTTTTGGGTTCCTCTGTGATGGYAGGGATGCTTGCTTAGCACTAAGGTGTCTTGCAGACAGATGTGAACATTTCCAGAGGCCACATCTGGGTGCAKCAAATGCTTCAAAGGGAAGGCAATGAAATAGCCCAACTTAAGGAATATGCGGAAAGTTCAGCTGTAATAATAGCTGAAGAGGGAGGCAGGAAAAATGCAGATCTGTTGGAAGACAACCCTTAATTTGGGGATGTATTTGAAATTGTATGAAATCCCGTGAACTCCAGCTGACTCAGTGCTGTTACCGTGCTGGGAACTGCCTTGTTTCCCTGCATTGCCATTTTCTCAAGAAAACACTGAAGGAAAAGGTTGGAAAAGCTGGTTCTTTGTGGAGCTGGCCATTAGCTGTGCCTTAATTTGAATGTGCTGGCACAGGTAGAACTGAGTGCTGCAGGGGCTCAGGCTGAACCACCACAGCCGTAATGTGTTCACAGAAGTTTTCAGAGATTGGGGAAGTCTGAGCAGGAAACCTGAACTTCTGAATTGTTACTAATCCCTTCTGAAAAATGGATGGCACACAGCAAAATGATGCATTGAGTCCACAGTTTCTTGCTTATTTGCAACTTAAAAATGAATTGTAGCACAAACTTAGTGTGTGTTTAAAGGAAGRTTTAAAAGAAGGCTTTGATAAGGCAATAACAGTGACAATTGTCATAACAATGCCATAACCCTCACTTGTAGCTTCTGCAGTTGTGCACTTTGGAACATGCTGCTTTACTAGAAACTCTTCTTATTGCAGTAATTTCATAGCAGTGATTGTGGCAGATGTAAAAATAACTGGGTTGTAATCTCAGAGCTTTTCTTTAAACCCTAATTTAATTGTGGCAAGTGTTGTTCTATCATCAGCCAAAATGGCCCTTGATTTTAAGGAGGGGCAAAGTTTGTCAGTGTTGTTCAGTCATTTGGGACTTAGACTTAGCTGCCCAAGCATGGAACAAGGAAAGAGAAGGAGGTTTCCCCAACAAAGGGTTTGGGAACAATAATACTCAGAATAGGCTGGGGACATGAATGTGAGAATTGTCGATGTCATTGTTCTGTATTGCACTGTGAGGCCCTTCTTTAGSAGGGTAAAATGAAACTTTGTAAAGAAATGAAGGGAATCTTGTAGCATATGGGTGTTTCAGTTTAGGGACAAACATTTCCTTTAGGTGTATTTGCAGGTACCTCTTGGGCAGTTCCTTCTCAGGGTATTTGCCCAATTGTTTTAAGTTGCTGGGTGTGAGCTTAATGAAATTGAAAGCACAGATGGTATCACTGGAGAAAAATAGCCACTTTTTCTCTAATGGGACATTTTGTCAGACACCTTTTTGTTGGGGAGGATGTGGGATTTAGTTTCTCTGTATATGATACTTTCTATGATGTATGAACAAGTTCATTGGAAAGCAAATTTGAATACACTGTGTACAGCTTGTAACTTAAGCTTGGAAACTGAGAATGATGCATGATGCGTTTCATTACTACCTGTGGAGCATACAGATGTCAAGTGTTTTCTTTGTTTCTTCTTGTTTGGAAATGTTGAAGTTAAAATACATCCTTGCTATAATGCTATCAAGCATGGAGTGCTGGATTCATTTAAAACACTTCTGGAAAACAAATTTTAATTGGGGGGAGATGACTGGRGGAGAATGGTCTAAACTTGTGTGCATCCCCAATATTCCCTGGACTCTGCACAGTGTACGCCTTTGTTAAAAATAAATGGAAGTGTGAGAGAACTTAGGAATTTTAGGTCACGATTCTTACATAACAGACTTCTTGTTTCCCACCTTGCTGCCATATATGGAAAAAACAGCTATCAGATACCAATAGTGGGAATACAGTTTCTTTTTCTAAAAAAATCTTCCAGACTTTCTTGGTCAAGAGCTGCAGTAATGCTGCTACAAGAATTGCAGTCTCAAAAAAAACCAAACCAAAGGGCAGAAAAATCAGATTCATGAAATCATTTAGGTTGAAAAAGACTTTTAAGATCATCCAGTCTAACATTAACCCAGCACTGCCAAGCCTGTTGTAAGATGAAGGGCTGTGCAAAATGACTTTTCTTAAATCATAGAATGGTTTTTAGGTTGGAAGGCACCTTAAAGGTCAGCTCATTTCAATAYCATGGGCAGGGACAGGGACTCCTGTCAAAGTGTGAACAACCTTGACCTGCATGTAGAAGGACAAATATGCAGTATTGTTTTGTAAAATGGAAATCTAACAGGCTTACTTCCCAGTCTTCTTCCCTGCTTGAATAATGGCCACAGATGCAATGTTGACCATATCTGTGCTGCTGTACAAACCTTTTATGGCATGTCTGTCCCCACAGTAAAGGTGATGTAAGCATTTATTAGATGGTAAACTATAAAAATTGTTGCAAGCACATGAAAATGGTAAATTCTGTATTGCTATCAGCCTTTCCATAACGAAATCCTAATCTGAATCCTATTAACAAACCTCCACTACTGTTTTTTTTTGTAATAAAAGATGCTACCATGCATGTTAGAGCAAAYATSTCTCTGTGTCTGAWACTTGGAGGTACACAAAGTAGGTTTATTTTCACAGGCAGTGTGTAGRCAGCAAGTTAAACTTCCCCCTGAAACCAGTGTTTCAGAGCTCTAGGAAGRTGAAATCAGCTCAATTCTGGAACTGTTTCCTTGATGCCAACGTCCAAAAAGCACAGAACCCCAGAGGAGTGGATGTTTTAGGGCTTCTGTACCCAGTGTGGAAGAGTGCCTTTATGGAGGCAGTCAATATAATGAAACATCAGGCCTTCACTGCTGGGAAGTGGCACTAAATGTCCCCTATTCCCTTCTAAACTGCAAAGCCAGCTAAGGGTTAGGAACTTCCCCTCAATTAACATGTCCTGTATGACCACGGTTSAGTTGTGTCTATTTAGCAAGTCATTAACTGTTACCACAAACTACTGTTCTTTTATCGTAGCTTTGAGGAAGCAGAAGCCACAGCTTTGCTGTTCTTGTTCTGAACTGGCTGCTGAAAAGGAAACCAGCCGCTGGCTTTAATAAAAAATATTTCACACAAACCAGAATAAGGCAATGGTAATGTTTTGTCATGTTGAAGGCACTATTTAAAAAAAAACAACAAAAAACAGTCATCATTGAATAGATCAACTTTGTGTCAAATGTTTTTTCTAGATTCTCTTGATTTATACATGATCTGTATGAAAATGGATGTACAACAGTTACTTTGGTACCGTCTGTGCCAGGAAGAACACTCAGCACCCTTATAGACCACACCACATCTTTGGAAATGAAAATATGCAGCAATGCAACTGAAATATAGTTTATCCTACTTCTTACTAGTTAAGTTTCCTATTTAAACTCTTCCCACAGTAGCACTGCCTCATCTCCATGCTAAAGGGAAGAGGAAGTGAGGCTGTTCATGATTTCCACCAGATAGAGCTACTCACTGGTTCCACAGCAGCTCTGTGCATGTAGCAGTCCTCATCAGAACAGCCTGTCTAGAGCTATGAGGAGAAATGCATTTAGACCTTGATTTCCCCACGTGTATCAACATTCCTATTTCAGATCAGAGTTCTGCCACTGTGCCTCATCAGCATTTATAGTTCTGATCACCAAAGTCTTGGTGGTGACGTTGCCACCTGACTTCAGGGGGATTCACAGAGGAACTGAGAGCACATTGGCCACACACTGTGTGACAACTGCTTGGGGGAAGGAGGAGAACAAAGTGGAGAAACTACTGTCCTAATCAGTTTTAGCTTCTAGAAAAAAACCCCAAAACTCACAGGTAGAGGACAGTMCAGTCTGGTCTTACTGTTCCTGCCAGAAAGGTAAACTCAGTCAAGCCTTTCCAAACACAAATAATGCTGAACATCTCCCAGTAATTCCACCCTTTTGAGCATCCCACTGTATAAGCAGAATTACCAGAAGCTAACAAAACTCTCTGCAATGCAGGAATTTAAGCGTCCTCCCTTTTACAGCACATGTAAGCCTGGGTTCTACCCTGCAACACATTYGCTTTGTAGTTACTCATTAACCTGACCTCTTGGTGCATGTAATTAATTAATTTAAATCTGGCAGGATGACAAAGTGACTCTGTTCAGTTCTGCTACTGCTCTAGAATATCAACAGGCTAAAATCCAGTACCCTATCAGTAACAGCACAGATTTTTTCAATGGTATGAGCCTCTTTCAAATTCAGWTTAATTCAAGGCTAATCATTAGTAAGTAATAATTACTAGTTCAAGGAAAAAAAAAAGAAAAAAGCAGAACTGGTTAGGTTTTGGATTGTGTTTTTAATCAGTACAACAGAAGCCCCCAAGAGAAAGACATACATTGCTAAAACTTCCACACATTTCTAAAGCTCGAGTTTATTTTTTCCAATGGGCAGTTCAAAGTAACTCTTCCCTCCAAAGYCCCTGCTCCCTTCCTGCTTTGGATCACTAAAAGGCTGTTGCTGACACCAAATTGCAATGAAGCKGTGAAAGAGAAACCACATTACTACCTCCATCACTTTATTTTTTAAAACTATCAAACTTGTAGGAAAAGGACTTGGTAATTGTAGTTCTCTTTTTGGGGTAGCAATACCAATTTAACTTCACTGAATGATAAGACACCATTTAAGGCTTTCTCAATCATTTTTTTTTTTTTTTA